CCGTATGAGGAAGCTCAAGGTCGCTCAGCGAGCTATGGAGAGGGCTATGCTCGGAGTTTCTCTGCGTGATAAACTTAGAAATGAGTATATCCGCAGTAGAACCAGAGTAACAGACATAGCCCAACGGATTAGTAAGCTGAAGTGGCAGTGGGCCGGTCATATAGCTCGAAGAACCGACAACCGATGGGGAAGAAAGGTTCTCGAGTGGCGACCTCGTACCGGCGGACGAAGTGTAGGACGACCCCCCAGATGGATTGACGACCTGGTAAGACATGCAGGAAGTCGATGGATGCAGGTGGCTCAGGACCGTGCTTTGTGGCATTCCTTGGAGAGGCCTATGTTCAGAAGTGGACTTACGAAAGGCTGTAATGATGATGAATCTGATTTAGTGTTTATTTACATAAAAATTTTATGATTGCTAAAAGTTATAGTTACAGCATATATACATCCTACTGCTGGGCACAGGCCTTCACTTCTGAGAGGGTTTGTAGAGCATGTAAATGTCTGCCGCGCTGCCCTGCGTGTTAGCGAACTTCACATGTCCTCGAAATATTTTTTACTTATTTCTCAGACATGCAGGTTTCCTCACGATATTTTCATTTAACGCAAAACACGTGGTAAATCAGCATTTAAAACTGCAATAAACAGTTTCATTGGAGCCAGCGGGGATCGAACCGGGGTTGCTCATGTACTGTGGAATTTACAGCGTACGCTTAGATCTGAGCTACCACGGCTGTTTTGTTACACAGTATGTAAAAATTAAGGTAAACAATTACAATTATACCTATTTTTGTCTTTCTTAATAAACAAAAATTTGTGGTGGTTTTAGAAGATGAATCTGGTGGAGAGCTAGTTAATTTGTTGGCAAAACTGCGCGTAACATTACATGACATCCCGCTCATAGAAATGTGCACTGTCGGTTTCTCTCGGTTCTCATCGGTCGATTACGGTTTACGTTCGTGCGCCGAGTCGAGTGTTGGATTATTTTAATTTATCAAATAACATGCTAAAAGAGCAAAGTTTATTTTTATGTTATTGACTTGATGATGAAGTAACTTTCATTTGTAAGGATTAATGTGCTATGCCTAATATTAACGCTCATAAATCACTTTTTAATTTTTAATTATTTTTTGTCACTAAATACCTTATTGTGGCTTATGTATAGAAAATATGCATATGATATTCCTGACTTTTTATTAGATGTGGTAAAGATCGATATTTTTGTAGAATATTGTATTTACGTATCACTAACCATTACGCCAGCGCACGCGGATAAATCATTTTGGGAGCGCTTTTTCTTCTGACTTGCTTTACAAAAATCAATATTTAAGGCTATCTAAGAAGTGTAGCGAGAGTGTAATGCGAGATAACCTATACTATTTCTTATGATCGGGATATAATATACAAAAATATTTTTTCAAATCGAATCGGTAATACCAGAGGTGAGCGTGTTTAAACAAGAAAAATAAACTCTTCCGCTTTATTATATTAGCATAGATTTACAATATAATTTAAGGTAGTTAAGTCTCCGCTTCTCTGGGTAGACTAGGACTTAATCTGTAATCATGATTAATAGCGACTTAGTTTAGAAATATTAGCATCGAAGTAAGCGCTGGGTCAAAGTTTCAAATTAATTGTTGGACAAACTGTAAAAGAAACTTTCATACTGAAGTTCGATTAAATTACCGAGTTACCGGTTATCCATTAAATTTGATCATTTTCATTACTAAAATTAAACCTCTATAAAGATAGAGCAATGTTTTCAAAGAAAGACAGTTTAAAAGAGTATTTATATAGCATTTTCATACAAAAATCACAGTGGGTAAATCTGCTACAATACATGAAGGTAAATAATGAATGAATGAATGAATGAAATACACTTTATTGTACACCAAAAAATACATATGAGAAGAAAAAAGAACATAATTTATTTAAAGGTACAATTGGCGGCCTTATCGCTTGGGAGCGATCTCTACCAGGCAACCACATTGCAGAGGATAAAATGACCTGTGAGAAAGGGTAAGGGTGTACGTAGGTTGATAGAAAATACACACGACATATATAATATAATCCATAAATACATACATCTATAATATAAATAAATACATTTTAAATACAAAAATATATACATACATATACGAGAGCAGAAAAGATTAAACAAGTTAAGTCAAAGCCTAAACGTAAGGAAAAATGAGTAGGTAGTAATTTTTAGAGGAATGACTATTTAAGGAGGAAAGAAGTGCGCTTTGACAAGTTTTTTAAACTTATCAATAGACTGCGCACTTCTAATGTGCAGCGGTAGGGAGTTCCAGAGCCTAACAGCTTCAACAGAAAAGCATTTAGAATAGAAGGAAGTGTTATGAGATGGAATTTTTGGGGTGAGGTTTTTATCAGAGCGAAGAGAGCGACAGTGAGTGTCACCAAGAAACTCAAATCGCTCTTTAAGGTAAGTAGGGGAAGTGAGATTGAATAGTATACAGTATAAAAGAGAAAGAATGTGAGTATTCCTGCGAAGACGGATCGGAAGCCACTTGAGTTTTTCGCGATATTCGGAGACATGGTCATATTTTACAAATATTACAATGAATAAAGTTTATAGTACCACAAATTAAATAAATACAAAAAACATCGCTTGTTCGCTACAGTAAACATCATGAAACAGCTGAAGCTAGTTATTATATTATTATGCCATGATATATTTATTTATTTATATGCTTAAGGATGTAAACAGTAGGAACTAAATGAAATTTATCTTATAAACTAAAACCTGATGAGCGTACCAACGAAAGGCGAACACGTGGGTTTCTATTACAAGGTGATACTCAATATCTTAAAGATGCCTGCATATATTATTGGGCACAGTCTCCTCTCATTTTTGAGATGTTTGTGGAGCAATTAGTTTGCCCCACCACTCCTACAAGTACGTTACCGGACTTCATATGTCTTAGAATATTTTTTACGTTCAAACATGCAGTTGTTATTACGAAGTTTTCCTTCATCATTAAAATGAATGCTTTCGACGAGGTAGAGCCATGCTGCATGATATATTATGGTTGTAGCACGAATGGGTCAGCTCGACTGGGGAAGTGCCTCGCTCTCACAGAGTATCAGTGTGAAATAGCAGCTCAAAGCTACTTTGTTTTGTATAGTGGGTGAAGAGGTCTAGAGACACTTTTAACCGGAAATCAGGCATTTTTCTTAGTCCTCTGGGGTGACAGCTCATCAAGATGGAAAATTTGCTTCACCAACAAATTAAATATTTAAATAGTAACTCTATTTAGTAAATTAACATCATGAAATACTAAACCTAATTCATTTTAACTGCACATCGTACAATATACCTGAAAATTAAATTAAATTTTAAATTATCTTAATATGTACTACGGAAAGTTATTTTGGGAACGTTTCCTAAAGAACGATCTTTAATAACTATCTTCATGAAATCATATAAAATTAACGATATTTAACAGTTTCCATTACTTATATCCGGTATCTTGGTCCAAATGGCCCTTTAAACCGTTTTGTTAGAGAGTACAGAAACATGGCCAAAACAATAGACTTAGTTCATCGCAACTTTAAAAATTACAATACAAGTACAATAGTGTTATTGAATTTTACATAACTTAATTTTTTAAACCTTTTAAACCATTTCCTGTTGTTTCTTATCTTATTTTTATTGCACGTAGTCTCCACCTATAATTATAATGGTGTTAAGCTTTACAAACCGAATATTATGTAGTCTTATTTGCAGCGATGTAATGTATAATATATTGGTTTTCAAATAAATAAATGAATAAATATTTTTTTTTAATAATGACATAACTTCTGTCTTTCAGTATGTTTCTGGTCAGTTAAATAATAATTTAATTGGTACGGTACTTATCTTTCAATTCAGTATTCACAGAGCGTAAATTAATTGTTCGTCAACACGGGAACGCGTTTATCAGTTTTAAATATCAACTGAATACTTATAAAATAACAATAGTAACAAAGGAACCTCTAATATTTTTCATTAACTATGTCACACCGAGTCAATGTTCTCACAATTGTCACAAAGTTTCAATAAACGGCCTTCTACACGGTCGGGGCCAACCACCAACCGTCGTGACCTTGGTCGAGTTGATGTAAAAATGGACAGTGTAGTACAGATGGGTAACTCAGGAGAGATAGATACAAAAGATATGAATCAATCTGTTTCCATCAATCACTCTTTATATCCATCCGCATCCGAATGTATCACTATATATCAGTATATCTTTACAAGAGGCATCTTTTGACTATCTAACATCTGTGTCGCACATTGCGCACACTGCTTTGTATTATACCTCGGCCGGTGTGGCTGGCCATTCCAGGAAGATTTCGGAAAGTAGTAATAGTACAGACGTTTCTTTCGCAGCTCACTATTTAGAATGTACTGTCGCGTTTTGGCAAGACGGAGAGAGTGAGTTGTTTGACCATTATAAACTGTAATACGTTGGCACAAAAAGAGAAATTGATAACTCTATGACTGGTGTATAGGGCTTAAAGTTATTAAGCGGTACGTTAACATATAAGTATTATACTGGTTTAAACTGTAGCTATGTGTAATTTTCCTTTAAATTTTTTAGTAAACAATGCAAACTAATTTCGGTTATAAAAACATCGTTTTTAAGAAAGTTTTATAACCGAAATTGGTAGTCGTTTATATCCATAAAAAAGTAGAAAAAAGATTTGTGATTTACAAAATTAAACAAAGATCAGTTTGCTTCATTAATTCATTAGTTCAACCTTAACCTCGGTTCGGGTACGAGTGTAATATTGTTTTCGTTAGTTGCATCGAATAGATAATATTTGAAGTAGTTTTGTACACTTAGTGACTTTAATTTAAATGTAGGTAAATAAGACATTCAGTGTAAATAATTTAAAGTGTTTGTTGTTCTGTACGTACAGTTAGTGACTGTTTCCTTTATTTTAAGTGTAAATAATTTTGCATAGTTAGTGTATTATTAACAAAAAAAAAAATGGGTTCACGAAAACGAAGCGCAGTGTGGAATCATTTTGAGGAAGTAGAACCAAAAAAAGCAAAATGCCTTTATTGTGCGAACATGCTAAATTTACCCGCTGAAAATTGCGGTAACCTAAGTAGACATTTAAAAAGTAAACACCCCACAGTATCCCTCGTAGCTAAAAGGCAGCCAACGCAGCAGGCATGTTTTCAAGAAGCCCCGCAGGATACACTTGCGGCAACATCAACTGTGACAGAATCTGTCACGTCCAGTGCCCCTGCCTGTGGCCCTTCCTCCGTTGAGTTACCTCCTCATCAGTCGTCCATCAAGGAATATGCGCATAGCACAAAATCTATGCCGACTCGGCGTGCGGAACTTTTAGATGAGCAGCTTGTGCGCATGATTGCAAATGGCTATTACCCATTCAGTATCGTGGAGGACGAAGAATTTAAAAAATTTGTACATATGCTGTGCCCAGGGTACACGCTGCCAACAAGGAAAACACTGTCACAGACGTCAATTCTCAAAATGTGCAAAAAAACAGGAAGAGAAATTGAGGCATAAGATGGAAAATGCCAATGCAGTCTGCCTTACCACTGACGGCTGGACGTCGGATAACAATGACAGATATTTAGCTATTACGGCTCATTACGTTGTCTCTACATCAGACGACACGAAATTGCCTCGAATTTACTGGGATGTGTGGAATTCAACGAGAGGCACACCAGCGAAAATCTCACTGAATTCCTGAAAAACATCATGCGACAATGGAATATTGATCATAAAATTACCGCAATCGCCAGCGATAATGCCGCCAACATTACAGCAGCTATAAGGGAGGGTGATTGGCGACAAATTCCATGCTTTGCCCACACATTAAACCTCTGCGTCCAGTCGGCGTTGCAGCAATTGGCCCCAGTTTTAATAAGGTGAAAAGCGTCGTCGAGTTTTTTAAGCGGAGTACCCAAGCGAATCAAAAATTAATAACAATGCAGAAACGACTATGTCTTCCAATCCTCAAACAAAAACAAGACGTCGCCACCAGGTGGAACTCTACATACGACATGCTGCATCGGTTTAGCTCGACGAAAGATGCTATTATAGCCACTATAGCCCTCATCAAACCTGACCTAGCACTGACTGATTACGAATGGATGATAATTCAATCGGTTCACCCTGTATTGAAAATGTTTTATGACGTTACAGTCGAAGTAAGCGGCGAAAAAAATATATCTTTAGCTAAGGTCATTCCTTTGTGCAGAATTATGCTGGGTCACATTAGGAGCAGGCTGCAAGTGCAAAATACGGATGCTAATCAACATATACCAGAAATAAAAAATTTCATCGAGCATTTACACAAGGAGCTCAATCATAGATTCGGTCACATCGAATCTAATATATCAAACGCGGAATCTACAATTCTGGATCCACGTTTTAAGAATAAGGGTTTCCAGGACTCTAGATTGTACGGTAGGGCTCTGCAAGACTTAAAACTTAAAATTGGACGAAGTTCTTCAAGGACAACAATAATGCCAGCGGTAGAAGCAGTGCAACCAGAATCTTGCCCTAACCACTCAATTTGGTTTGAGTTTGACCAAGAAGTGGTTAGGCAAACACCGGACAACCCAACGGCGGCGCGGATCGTAGAACTCGATAAATACCTACAGGAACCGCTTTTAAAGCGTACAGAAGACCCCTTACAATGGTGGCACGCTCGAAGGAACATATATCCTCTATTATTTAATTATGTTTTGAAAAGACACAATCTCGTAGCTACGTCAGTTCCTTGCGAGAGAATATTTTCGAAAGCGGGATATACGCTGAATGAACGTAGAAGACGATTGACGACAAAAAAAGTGTCGCAACTCCTATTCATAAGTTGCAACTCTGATATTTGAATAAGTATAAGTATGTGTAAAAACGATATGTACATATGTAAATGATGCTGTAAATAATAACCAAAAATCACTGTACATAGCTACTGATTTCTAAATACGCCAACCTAAGAATCTAATTTTTACTTACTAAATTCAACTACGTATACCTAATATTTTACACTATAACTGAAATAACTGCACGTAAATTGGTTGCCAGTCCAGTCCAGCCTGGAAAAGTATGAAGGGAAATCGGTAAACTATATAATATATATTTTCTACAAATAAATACAAACAATACCTACCCTACCTATGTTATTTACGTTAATCATTAATTCAATTATTATTTTAAACTAAAAATTTAAGTAAACTTTTCGAATAAGTGCCTATTAATATTTATAAATCATCACAATAATAGCGCTCGCTGTAAGTCTCACACTACGCGAGCAACCCGGGTTCGATCCCCGCCGACACCAATGAAATTATTGTTAATTGCAATTTTAAGTGCTGATTTACCACGTACTCTGCGATGAAGGAAAACATCGTGAGGAAACCTGCATGTCTGAGAAATAAGAAAACTTTATTTTTTTAATCATAACAAATAGATACCTAGAAAGAAACAGCAGCCAAATATATCAGAAAGATACACAATGTTACGACCAAGCAAAATGCAAACAGCTCTATAGGTCTTATCTATCACTCTTACTGATAGGATTGAGTTGAGCGAAGCGAGCCACGCTGAGTGAGCAACGCAATGTAATGCGATGAGTGTCGTGAACGCGAGCTTGATCTACTGATACATAAGGATATAAAGATATAAAAGAGTGATACATATCCCAGTGATCAAAAGATACATATCAATCTTTTCTTTTAAGTGATACACATTGCCCATGTCTACAGTGTAGACATCGGTGGTCTGACAAATATATTGGTTGATGTCCGACGGCCTTGGTCGCGAGTGCGTCACTCACGACACGTCGGCTCCGTGGTTGACGCCGACCGTGTGGAAAGCTGTCGGCCGACGAGTCGACGAGAGCGCCAGGCAGAAGGCACCTCAGTGCGCGCTTGGCAGTCGTCGCGGACGAACGTTTAATGACACTATGGAAATGATGTAACTGTACTAAATTTCAGATCTTTATAACTTCTTCCCGTAGCCAAAAATCTTAATGTAGCTCTTTTTGTAATCATTGGACACACCATCTCAAGTAATTCATTAAAAGTATCTTGATCCATTCTAAGAAAATTCCGAAAGTCTTCAGAATCAAGAATCCTTAAAATATTGAGATGAATTAAAGTAATGCGCTCTTTCAGCCACAATTTCATCCATTTTCCTTTTTTTCTTTTTTTTTCATCTTGGCTCAAGTACAGAAACGTTAACGCTAAAACCTTTGACGGCTCCGTGGCGCAGTGGCTTAACAATGAGTTGGTGCGCTGGGGGCCGCGGGTTCGATTCCACACGAAACATGTGTATGGCCTACAAATAATTGTTCCGGGTCTGGATGTTTGTCCTCGTGCAATCTATGTTTGTAAACTGCCTTTACAATACAGGAGAAAATCCTTGTGTGGGGGTAACGATTTTTAATAAAAAAAAAAAGATTTTTTTGTTGTTTAGAAAAGCAAGGAGCCATATTTAAAAGTAACTACCTTACGTCTTTACGCTTTGAATACTGGCGAAAACCGACAAGTTGAGTCAACCACCCGACCGTGTAGAACAACTACATAAATTGGTTGACCCGACCAAGGTCACGACGGTTGGTGGTTGATTCCGACCGTGTAGAAGGCCTTTTATTATACTCGCGTGTATATCAGGTCCTTTTGGGAACATTTCCGGACTTGATGATTTTGTTTTGAAGTGGATTTTTTTGCAATTTTTCATTAACTTACTTTATGTGCTTTGTGTATATTATATCATACCCTTAAACGACGAGCATGTGTGCGTAGGCATATTTTTAATAATTAATAAAAGTGAGTCAACTCAGCGACTAGACGGAGCAACGATGGGGCGCGGTATGAAGGAGAGCGGAGTTCCCCCCTGCCCGTGACGTCTGCGGTAATACCATTCTGCTTCGCTTGCGTACCGGTACGCCCGTTTAGGGGTGTCAAGTACAAGGAATCAGTTGCACCATTTTGGTGTTCACCAAGCAACATGATATTACTCGATATTATTTTGAAATATTGGAAATGATTGTATGACGCTTTAAGTAAAATTAAATTCTAATAACCATGTTATTGCTTTAATCACGATTTTTAATTAAATTATATGTAAGGATATGAATTCATTTTATCATTAAATTCAACAAAAGACCATTAATAAAACCAAATAATAAATGTCGTTAATATTTGTCAGTTGCACATTTGTAACGAAGCTGTTGAATAAGAACCAGAACCAACGTATAATGATAACATTTTTTTTTATTCTGTTTAACCCTTTATCAAATATTTTAAGCGCAATATATGAGATACTGCTATATAGGTAAAATATAGTAAAATTAGGTAGGTAGGCTGGTAGGTACCTACCAGCATAGGCCTTTGTTTCCATTACAATGAATGAGTTGAAGCTGCGGAACGCAACTAGTTTTGTAAAATAGTAATCAGTTTATATCTTTGTATAGAAAAATAAATTATTACGATGAATACTAATAAAATATAATGTTGTGGTATTATTATTTGAGGAGATGTTTTTGTGACAACCCTTGCATATTTTTCTATTTAACGTCAAGACAGCCTCGTAGATATTTTGCGGTATAACAAAAGAGTTAACCCACTATCAGTATTTATAACACATATTGCGTAGGTATATGGACGTAAAGTAGTCGAGAGAGGTATGTCGGGATCGGGCTAAAGAGAAGTCCGTAGTCTCTGCCTGCCTCTTGGATGAAAGGCGTGAGTATTTATATATTTTATACATGTGTGTATCATTTCCAACAAATCGCCATACTTGTTGTTTTTAAAGCAATATGAAGACTTCCGCTGCATAAAAATGAAAAGAGAACAAAATATTTAAAATTATTAAAAAAAAAATATTAAAAATATTGCGGCGTCTTTGCGCCATAGAGAAAAGCCTAATGCTAAAATATTAATATATGACCGACGAACAGAGAGAAATTAAAAGTAAAAACATAGGTGATACAATTGAGTGAGAGAAAGAAAAAGTTTTTAACAAATATAACAAGTGATACACCGCAACAATGATGATGATGATGATATGACCTGCAAACCTTTCACTGAGAAGACAAGTATTCCTACTTACTACTATTCCGAGAAATAGTTCGCAAAAATAGAGCAAAAGTATACCGAACAATAAAAAAAAACAAAAGGAAATTATAATTCAAATGAAACGAATAATTACAAAGAAGAGACGCAAAAAAACCTGTACCTATAACTCCTAACAGGAAAGTAGCTGTTATGATTACAGACATTGACGTACCTCGTGAAGTTCAAACAATCTCTTATTTAGCGCAATATTGAATACACAATTGCACGAAAAGGCTCTTACTTTTTTCATTAAAGCTTCGGTATAATTTCTATAACTATGAATACTGCAACTTGAAAGGAAAACATTTCGTGTTTCATAAAAAAATTTGAATATTTTTTCTTACTGGCAAGCACTCTTTAACTTTGAAGCGAACAACCTTGTTTTCAACTACACCTGCATTGAACTGTAGTAATAGCCAACTTCCTCGTCAAAACAAGCAATAAAGCTTTTGGCGGTACAGATTATGTGCACGTTCCGTTATCGCAGTAGATACGATCTCATTTCCCTGCTCCATCAAATACTAAGGAAGTTTTCCATAGCTGACCTGTGGATCAAAGAAAATAGTGGATACATTTGGCGAGAAAATACATCACATCGGACCCGATAAACGTCGGCAGCTAAGAATTTATCCAGGTGAGTGTTTGCCAGGTCTTATGTGTACATAGCATAATAATTTTTTGATTCTTGCGAGCCAAATATTTCCTTTCAAATCGTGCTGTATTAGTAAAAGTGTTATCTTTAGTTTTACACACAGTTTGAATTTTTGAATTTTACTTATATGCTTACTTTCATCAACGTATCGTATTGGCCATCATTGCAACACAAAATGCCGGTTTCGTCATTAGGTGAACAATCTATGTGTGATGTTTCATGCAAGCAGGATTGTTAGAACGCGATAATATTTTGGATGAATTAAAAATAACATAACCGTTCGCAACGACCTCTGAACAAAAGTTCCATTCACGCATTAAATATCTTAATGTACAACAAAAAAAGTTTAGCATATTTCAAACTAAAATTGAAAAATGTCTTATAAAGACAAAAATGTTCAACAAAGGTGAACAAATTAAAATTCAAAACGATTTTGATGACGCATATACGCTATTGTCACGTATTTGAGCAAATTAAAACAGTATGACGAACAAGGCAAACTTATGAGTAGGCCCTTTAACTCCGAATCGTTCTCACAATTCCGCAATCCAAAATTGCCTAAAATTCCCTTGCCCAGTTTCTCGGGTAATAGTACTGACTGTAACTAATTTTATAATTTGTTTATTTCACTCGTAAATCACAATAATGCCTATATGGATGCGGAGAAATTCAGATATTTACTCCTTACTTTCTTTCTTTTTATTCTTTTTTATTTAAGGGACTTTCGTTACTATTAACATGTCAGTCCCATTGTACCTTATAACTAAATAGCACAAAACAATATATAATTACTTATACAATACTTAATAAATGATAAACCATATGAGCAGAATCTGACAGTAGTTCAGAGAGTATACTTTGATATTCCCCTATGTTATACATTTTAATGTCAGTTTTGGTGACCAGTAGTTTCCTCTCGTGACGGTTTTTAGAAAATTCCGCGAGCTAGTGTTGTATGTCTTCGATTGTGTTGCATGTTTCGCAATTTAGATATTGTTTCTTTTTCATAATGAAAGCGAACTTGTTGCACGGAATGTGTCCGGAGCGAAGTCGTATTGCTAATACAACAGATTTTCTGTTCAATAGACATTGATGAACCAAGGCACTTTCGGAGGCT